AGAGGGTTGTGGTTTCTTAGAAAAACAGTTTGAAAACAAACATGTTTCTGCTTATTAAACATACAAGTGTAATACTCACCACGTGATCTTTTGTTTCCCTAGTAAAATCTTTTCAAATGAAATTACAATGGAGCTTCAAGTCTGAAACTGGCTAGTTCTCCCTTTCCGATATTAAATGCTTAGGCTCATAATGATTTAGTCTGAAAGCCAATGAGCAAATCATTTTTATAACACTATTCATGCTGGGCTGGGTGTTCACTCATTAACCCTCCTTCCCATCAGCTTGCAGCATCCAACACAACTCAGAAGCAGCAAAATTAACAAACTGCAGTTTTCAAAAAAACACGAAACAAAGAAATCCATGTCACTGATAAACATCCCTTGCAAAGCAGATTCAGTAGGTTTCCGTCAGCTGATGTTGGATATAATGGGCTGTGGAGACTGGATACTCCAATTCATTGTACATTTAAAGAGAAATCTTGCTTTGATTGGAAGTATTCTGCATATGTGTGCAGAAAATCCAGTGCATCATGGCTGAAACAGCTGTACAAGCTGCTATGTATTTTTTTTGGCTCCAGATTTTCCTAAATCATTACGTAACTTGAAACTGTAATAACCAAACTGATTGCTGAAAGACAGGTTAACAGACTTCATTTTTAGAACACTATTGCAGCAATAGCAAATTACACAATCGACATTAGCCAAGATAGAGATAAAACAAGATTAATTGTTTCACCTTTGCTGGTCATATATCACCTATCATTTTATAATACTTCATCCAGTGAAATATGCAAGTTGTCGCCAAAGATAGCAAGTACTATAGTGATGTTCAAAGAGTCAAACATGATGCAGGAATTGCAGACCAATCTACAACAACAACTTGCATTTATATAACACCCCTCACGTAGGGTAGCATTCCAGAGCAATTGACAGTGGTGGAGCATGACAGCGAGCCAGGGAAGGGAGGTGGCTGTAAGCACAGTTGAAGAGGAAGGTCTTCAGGCGAGATCTTAAAATGGGGAAGGAAAGAGCAAGGCAGAGGGATAAAGGAAGAGTTTCTAAAGGAACAGTGGCTGAAAGCACGGCTATTGAGGATGGAATGGAGGGCACAAGGGACAAGCAGAAGGCAGGAGTCAGTTGAGTGGAGGCAGCGGGTTGTGGTTTGTGGGGTAAGCAGGTCGGAGAGTTAAGGAGGTGCCAGGGCATGAAGGGATTTGAAAATGAGTGTGAGGATCTTGAAATCGATCCGTTCAGCGGATAGGGAGCCAGGCTAGAATTAGGCTAGAATTGTTGTGATGGGTGGGGGCAGAGTTTAGCATAGTTGAGTATGCACGCGGCGGAGTTTTGGATCAGCTGGATCTTGTGGATGGTGGAGCTGAGGAGATGGCGAGGAGGGTATTTGGAGTCAGAAGGTAACGAATGCATGGATGCTGCATCTGGGTTAACATATAAATGGGAAAAATAATCCAATAGCATTTAATGGGCATTATAAAGTTTATCTAAAGCGGGCAGGAATAAAAAATGGTCAGCAAAGATTGAGAGGCAATAGGTAATGGCTCAGGAATCTACACGAACTGTAACTAAATTAGGAGGGAAATTATCTAGAATACTTAACCTGCTCAATTTTTCCAGAGGATTTTAACTAAAATTGACGATTCTTAAATTAAGGCATTACTATCTCTTTAAAAGGTTGAGAGAAGGGGGAGCTCCTTCAATGGCTCAGTAGGTAAATGCACCATGATTGAGCGAGGCAAACCAGAAAGGTTCCAGGTCCAGTTGCTGATCTGAGTTGAGATAGCTGATCTCAGCTGGGGATAGTGGCAATGGACTAAGTTGTCCTAAATGTTCTCGGTTGGGTGAGAAAGAAATCAACCTAAGCTCCTGCGGCAGATTGCTATCCAGTGACCTCTGCTGGAAAGTGCCCATGTCGATGGGAACAGCTGGGCTCTTGTCACATTCCAGTTGAACATCCAGCACCCAGCCTCACAGATAAATAAGTCACTTGGGCAAGGTACCTGAAGGCTGCAGCTCCTGTGCTATACACCTTCACCCTTTCTGCTCAGATTTTCCTGAAGCACTCTGGGAATCTGGGAGGAAGGAAATGTTTACAGAAACATCAGTTTCCAGTAAAAGGAAAGGAGTGCACAACAATGCAACCAGCAAGGGAAAGGCTTTCCGAAGGGGAGGTATGGGAACCTCGCAACTGGATCATTCTTTCTGCTGCACATTGGAGAATGTATGATCACGAGACGACATCTCCATCATCATCGCAACATTTCAAAAAGATATCATCTGTGCAATTGGTCCCTTTGGCAAAAACAAATGTTTACCACGCCAGTATCCAGGTGGGTAGAGGATGCCTAAAATAAAGATCAACAATTACACTCAAACTGTTTTCTATCTTTGCTATCTAGAATGTTAATTTGGCTCAGAATCCATAATACAAGCAAACATCATTAAACAAGTTTTAAGAAACTCAAAAATATGAAAGGGGTCACTCAAAAATTGTAAAGCGTTGCTTCGCTCTCAGATGCAGAAATGTTTGTATCACTCCCATACTTCCACATATAGAAAGAGCAAGCTTAATGCATTGGTGTTGAGGTTTATGCTCCACTAGCAACCAACGATGAGACACCGCAGCGTCTCTAGAAAATAGACAAGACTTTGTTAGGAGCTCCCTAATATTCAAAATGCAACTTAAGATAAAGAACAAATGAATTCTTAATGTGCAGAAAAAATCGTGAGACATGAACTTATAGAACACTTATCTTCTCTCTATTGAGGGCAAAACGCTTGAAAATGTAATACAGGATATTGTTCATTTGATCCGAAGACAACAGTGGCCAGAAGGAGCAGTAAACATAGATATAGACGCAATAATGGCATACCCCACTGGAATTAGATAGTGACTAAACAAGGGGATAAATTATATCAGGTTGATATCATTTATTTCGATTTTCAGAAGCATATGATAATGTTCTACAGGGAACTGATATAATAATCCATGCATTTTGATATAGTGCTTTCATATGGCAATAGAATAGGAAGCAGAAGGTGTTACCTAAATTTCAGTCAATAAGTTTTCATAGTCATGACAAATCCCAAAAGTTTGTAAGTGAACGTGACTTAAAATTTGAAAACTATTGCCTTGTTTGGAATCACAATTTTTGCTAGAAATAAAAGACATATTCACTACATAAACTACTTTAATGGTATGATGCAATGCAATAATTGCACTTGAATTTAGATAGGTATCAGTTGGACTCATCGGCAAGGCTTCTGATGCGATTTGAACAAACTAACAGTATTTGAAAAAGTCATTCCAATGCTATAGAACTGAGAGGTATCATTTTATGGTATTTTTTCTACTTTGTATTGAAAGAGTATTTCCAAAAAGAGACGAAAGGCCGGACTTATTTGCAGGCTTCTGAGATATTCAAGAACAGATTGGGCTGTCTTGGCATGTCCATGGTAAAGCCATTACAGAACATTACCCTGCTGCATTTCTTTAATGCTAAGAAAGGCTCAAGGTGGGGCAAAAATTTGCTATATCTACACTTGTGCAAAGTCAGCAAACTTACACACCAATTATCAAAATACAAGAAAACAGATCAGGGCAACCCTATTCCAACACTTTGTTTAGATGTTTAAATCCCAATGGCCGCCCTTTCACCATAACATTTAATACATCTATTACCCAAGCATCCGTCTCTCTTTTAATCACCTTCTTTTGATTCTGCCTTTACAGCTTTCTAGGGTAGGGCATTCCACATCTTCACAACCCCTTATGTGAAGAAATGTTTCTTGACCTCAGTTCTAACTGTTTGCAACACACATGCTCTAATTGCAACGCATAAGTTGCATCCCAAATGCACTTGTTCCAGCCAAACCAAATTCCATAATTGTAGATATAAAATTTATGTTTTTGGAACACATTTTCCCAACTGCTTGTTAGCAATCTAAATAGTCAGATGTTCCAAATATACAACACTTTAAACACTCAATTTGAAATGATAATATATTTCCCCTTCCCCAAAAAACAGCATTCCATCCCACTGCATTCTTTGCAAATAAACGATTCATACATCCAAATAAAGGTGATATCTCCCAGAAGACAACCTCAAACATTTTCCTCCGTGAACATTTAAGGCTTTCCTACATCAATATTCTGCAATCCATGGACAGCGTTTCTCCCTAACAGAAAAGGCCTCACTTGTTATCCAGTCCTCACATGGATGTTCCCACTGGTGTAAAAGCACTTGCATTCCAGGACAAGCAATGCCATTTTAATTCTAATGAGTTCCTTCAGGAACCCTCGTCATGAGGAAACTAAAAGCAAACATGATTTTGCTATTACTCAACAACTTAATAAGACAAGAACTGAGTGGTTAAGGGCGAAGTTCAATCAAAACAAATTTGTTCAGGTTCAGATCTCCAGTTGGCACATATCACCACTTTGAGCCCTTTTGCTGACCAGCTTGCAAAACGCTTACTATGTAGTTTTCCAGTCATTAGCAAATATTTGATAGTACTTTACAAATTTATTTTGTTAAAAAAGACATTTTATCAAACAAAACTGTATCATGTCATTCAATCCTTTTTTTCCTTTTAAAGGCTTCTCTGGTATTCTGATTGCGCAGCATTGCTTGTTTACAATTAGTTTACAAAAAAAACTCTTAATACCAGAAACACAGTCTTTAATTGCAACAGTTTACATAACTACTAGAAATTGAACTCAACAAAAATACATTAAGTTGTTGAAAGCGGGGGTGGGGGGTGGGGTGGGGGGTGGGGCTGCGGGGAGTAAGAGGGAAAGAAATGCCTGCAAGAGAGAAATGTACACTCCTCAGTTGCTGGAGAAAGCAGAAAAGTGGCCATGAACAAATCGAAACATAAAGAGAAACTTAAGAAAGAAAAAGATAGAGCCAGAGGAAACAAGTACATGTACTACTTTTTAAAATTGGTAAAAATGTAAGCAACAGTTGGTAACATGCACTTACCAGAAGGGGGGTTCAGAATGAACATCTTGCCTTAACTTGGAAGATAGGCTACTCTTCTGCAAGAAGAAACAAAGTCACAAACATTAAGAATCATGAGTTGTAACCCCATTAATCTGTATACAAGTGCACTTTTAAGATGCGTTTCTCTTCAGAAATAGACATCCTTAATTAGGTTAGGATGAAATCCTTCCACTGAACGAGTTGCGAATATAAAACAATCAGAACATGGATATTTAGCGCTTATATGCAAACACCTATTTTAATCCTCATTTTATGTAATCCAGGGTTGGGTTGAATTGACTCTTCTAATTGGTGAAATACATTCAAACCACAGAGGCACTATCTATTCAGGCTTGCTGGTGGTAATAATGCTTAATAGCATAATAATAATAGCATAGTTATTGCTATGCTACTGGTTACATTTTTGCATCTATGCCATTCAATAGGAAGACAACTGAATAAGCCAATTTCTTATTGATGCTATAATCAGAAGAGTTGGGTAATTATTTTAAAAGAATAAGATACATTGGCAAAAACACTTTCTTCATCTGTATCTCTTTTGTGAAGAAGCAGCTGCTTTGGCCGTTCAGCCTGTGCAATAACCCCTGATGCCTTGACTTAAAGGTTCAAGATTTCCCTTTTGTTGGCCAATACTGATAATGGCATTGGTCTGAGACTGACCACTGACAGTGGGCTGGTTGGGCCTGTTTTGAAATATCCGAAATAGGCATCACAGGCGCTGCATAAGAAATGGCATGAAATCAAGTCTTTACAACGTAGTCAGATAAAAGGGGCTTTCCAGGCAGTAATTGTAGAGAAATGTTATCCGCTGAACCTAACAGTGATTCTTTTACATCCGAAACAGGCCTTTTCAGATCCATACTATCATTAAATAGTCCAATGTCAACAAAACCTTGACTTGTGATTCAAAATCGGGATCCAACAGTACAGATAGATGCCAATACAACATTGTGCTTGCTCTCTGTGCCTGGGTAAATACCACCATGGTCATCACCAGTTCAGAAGTCAATTTGAGAGATTGGGTCATAGATTGTGACAGTGGTGTAAAATTGTCATGGCTCATAGGAGCTCCCACAAAACAGAGCTCATTTAGTCCAGTCTCAGTACGCTAAGATCGGTACCTGCAAACCTCTGATCATTAAGGTTTGTCCATCTAAACTCCTCAAGTTTCCCTGCACTTGGATAAATTGCTCCTGGAGCCATCAATTCATGGCAATAAAAAGCCATGGTTATGGATGTTTGCAAGCTCAACTCTGAGATTGAAGTACTGGATAAACTGAGGCGGAATAGGATTAAAGGACTCAAGCTTCTAGCCTGTTCCACTGCTCCTTCCCATCAGAATGCAAGTCTTAATTCTATTGCTCCCTCTTGCATCAAATACCATGCTAAACCAAAATTGTATGTGTGATTTAATCTGAAAAAAAATGCAAGGAACAAATTAAGAATTTGGAGGAGAGTAGAACAAACAAAACACAGAAACAATGTAATAACATGATAAGGTGCCATTTGAAATGCAAGGGTTATTATAATTCTTGTTTTGGTACTTCAAGGCAATGCTTCCTTTCACTATGATTAAGGAAAGCTTGAACACTCTGGAATGGTGTTTTGCCTTCCATTCCCCCCTTCCTTTCTCTAACAAGTGCTCATATCAGTACAACCTGTGAAATCTGTAACTCTCACACTGTCTGCCTGAACTTGTACCATTGCTGAAATCTCTCCTCTCCCCATTTCCCTCCAGCATAAAAAAGCTACATTTTACAGATTTCTTTTTAAACAAAATTTTTGGGATAGAAATAGAAAACAGAAGAGACTTGCTTCATGGAAATCTTGCAATAAAGATGGTAAAGTCATGTTCCCACCATCCAAAAAGTATCTCCTCATAACAATTTGTACTTAAACTATTGGTTAAATATTGAAAATAAAAAAATGTGAACTTTAAATTAAAACATTTACCAATGTGACCTGGAAGAACGCAAAGATAAAGAAAATGGGGTGGTGACAAGCAAAATCACTAAAGCAGAAGGTAAAGCAAAAGGTGAGATAAGAAGTAAAAGCCACTGGAGATTTCAGGGGAAAGGAAAATCACAGGTTCAATAACAGTCATTGGCATAGCTTTAACCCATCTAGAATAGCTTAATGGCTGTAATGTGGGAATTGCTAGACGAAAAAAGATCAAGGTCCATCTAACCTGCCTTCTATCATCTTGGTCCTCGCATGCTACAATCATGGAGATGTTAATAGCTCTTCATTCTGTATAGATTGGTCTACCAACAGTGGAAAGCTTTGGGAACCTTAGGTCTAAAGTTGCCCAGTTCTTTCAAGCATACTACACTCACTATATGGCATGTCTAAAATTACTCATGTATTCCCAAAATATTTTCTAACAGAAATCTATCTAATTTGCATTTGAATGAATCAACACTATCTGCTTAGGGAGTGTGTGAGGGGGGGGAAGGAGTGTGTGAGGGGAGGGAGGGAGTGTGTGAGGGGGGGGAAGGAGTGCGAGAGGGGGGAGGTGAGTGTATGAGGGGGGGGGGTGAGTGTGTGAGGGAGTGTGTGAGAGGGAGGGAGGGAGGGAGGGAGTGTGTGAGAGAGGGGGCCACCCGCGGGAGAAGACAATACAATGGCAGCACCCGAACGAACAGGAGCAAATGGTGCCCCGAGCAATGTCTCTCTCGTTCTCTCCCCTCCATCAGCCGAGCAGCGACTCACCCGAACAATATCCAGACCCATCTGTTATGCGACGGGGTCGGATTTTGCACCGTGTGTGTACCACACACACACACATATATATATACATATCATAATCATAATAATAATAATAATAATAATGGGGTGGCTTCGCGCACCAGAGAGACGAGGGGAGTGGGCCGCACAATGCCCGACAATTGTTCGGGGCCGCCGCAAACCCCGCGGGTTTCGTTGCTTCACATTTGACTTAACCACGCGAGGTACAGGAAAAAAAATCTTTTTTTTTTCAGGGGGAGGGGGGGGGGGGGGTGGAGGGAAAAAAATACGTTTCGTTAAAAAAAAAGGTAAAAGATACCGGAATGCGATGCTGAGGCGACTGAAGAGAGCCGCCGCTCGCCGTGAGGTAAAATAGCCGGTAAATCGGCATAAAGCAAATGGAGCAGCTCCGGTGGGTGTGTGTGGGTGTGTGTGGGGGGGGCGCGGAGACGTCTCCCCGCGGCTCGGGTCGCGGGGAATGAATGAGAAGCCGCCACACAGCCCTTACCTGGTGCCAGTGAGGGGAGCCGGGGAGGCGGTGGGTGGGTGGGTTGGGTGAGAGGGGTTGGGTGGGGGGGTGTGAGTGCTGCCGCTTTCCCCTTCTCGCTCCTCGCGCCGCCGCCGCCGCTCCGCACTGTACGCGCGCCAGGCGGACGTGACGCATGGAACTTCTAGAGAGTTCTGCAGCCGTCCGTCGACGTCGGGTTTTAGTGGACTGCGGCGCCCTGTCCCTCACTCCTTTCCTTCCTTCACTCCCCGCCCCTCGCTCCCCTCACTCACTGCCCCTTACTCCCCACCCCTCCCCTCACTCACTGCCCTTCACTCCCCACCCCTCCCCTCACTCCCTTCACTCCGTGTCCCTCACTCCCTGCCCCTCACACCCTGCTCTTCACTCCGTGTCCCTCACTCCCCACCCCTCACTCCCTGTCCCTCACTCCCTATCCCTCACTCCCTGCCCCTCACTCCTCTCACTTCCTGACCCTCACTCTCACGCCCTGCCCCTCACTCCGTGCCCCTCACTCCCTGCCTCTCACTCCCTATCCCTCACTCCTTGGATGTTCCCACTGGTGTAAAAGCACTTGCATTCCAGGACAAGCAATGCCATTTTAATTCTAATGAGTTCCTTCAGGAACCCTCGTCATGAGGAAACTAAAAGCAAACATGATTTTGCTATTACTCAACAACTTAATAAGACAAGAACTGAGTGGTTAAGGGCGAAGTTCAATCAAAACAAATTTGTTCAGGTTCAGATCTCCAGTTGGCACATATCACCACTTTGAGCCCTTTTGCTGACCAGCTTGCAAAACGCTTACTATGTAGTTTTCCAGTCATTAGCAAATATTTGATAGTACTTTACAAATTTATTTTGTTAAAAAAGACATTTTATCAAACAAAACTGTATCATGTCATTCAATCCTTTTTTTCCTTTTAAAGGCTTCTCTGGTATTCTGATTGCGCAGCATTGCTTGTTTACAATTAGTTTACAAAAAAAACTCTTAATACCAGAAACACAGTCTTTAATTGCAACAGTTTACATAACTACTAGAAATTGAACTCAACAAAAATACATTAAGTTGTTGAAAGCGGGGGTGGGGGGTGGGTGGGGGGTGGGGCTGCGGGGAGTAAGAGGGAAAGAAATGCCTGCAAGAGAGAAATGTACACTCCTCAGTTGCTGGAGAAAGCAGAAAAGTGGCCATGAACAAATTGAAACATAAAGAGAAACTTAAGAAAGAAAAAGATAGAGCCAGAGGAAACAAGTACATGTACTACTTTTTAAAATTGGTAAAAATGTAAGCAACAGTTGGTAACATGCACTTACCAGAAGGGGGGTTCAGAATGAACATCTTGCCTTAACTTGGAAGATAGGCTACTCTTCTGCAAGAAGAAACAAAGTCACAAACATTAAGAATCATGAGTTGTAACCCCATTAATCTGTATACAAGTGCACTTTTAAGATGCGTTTCTCTTCAGAAATAGACATCCTTAATTAGGTTAGGATGAAATCCTTCCACTGAACGAGTTGCGAATATAAAACAATCAGAACATGGATATTTAGCGCTTATATGCAAACACCTATTTTAATCCTCATTTTATGTAATCCAGGGTTGGGTTGAATTGACTCTTCTAAATGGTGAAATACATTCAAACCACAGAGGCACTATCTATTCAGGCTTGCTGGTGGTAATAATGCTTAATAGCATAATAATAATAGTAGCATAGTTATTGCTATGCTACTGGTTACATTTTTGCATCTATGCCATTCAATAGGAAGACAACTGAATAAGCCAATTTCTTATTGATGCTATAATCAGAAGAGTTGGGTAATTATTTTAAAAGAATAAGATACATTGGCAAAAACACTTTCTTCATCTGTATCTCTTTTGTGAAGAAGCAGCTGCTTTGGCCGTTCAGCCTGTGCAATAACCCCTGATGCCTTGACTTAAAGGTTCAAGATTTCCCTTTTGTTGGCCAATACTGATAATGGCATTGGTCTGAGACTGACCACTGACAGTGGGCTGGTTGGGCCTGTTTTGAAATATCCGAAATAGGCATCACAGGCGCTGCATAAGAAATGGCATGAAATCAAGTCTTTACAACGTAGTCAGATAAAAGGGGCTTTCCAGGCAGTAATTGTAGAGAAATGTTATCCGCTGAACCTAACAGTGATTCTTTTACATCCGAAACAGGCCTTTTCAGATCCATACTATCATTAAATAGTCCAATGTCAACAAAACCTTGACTTGTGATTCAAAATCGGGATCCAACAGTACAGATAGATGCCAATACAACATTGTGCTTGCTCTCTGTGCCTGGGTAAATACCACCATGGTCATCACCAGTTCAGAAGTCAATTTGAGAGATTGGGTCATAGATTGTGACAGTGGTGTAAAATTGTCATGGCTCATAGGAGCTCCCACAAAACAGAGCTCATTTAGTCCAGTCTCAGTACGCTAAGATCGGTACCTGCAAACCTCTGATCATTAAGGTTTGTCCATCTAAACTCCTCAAGTTTCCCTGCACTTGGATAAATTGCTCCTGGAGCCATCAATTCATGGCAATAAAAAGCATGGTTATGGATGTTTGCAAGCTCAACTCTGAGATTGAAGTACTGGATAAACTGAGGCGGAATAGGATTAAAGGACTCAAGCTTCTAGCCTGTTCCACTGCTCCTTCCCATCAGAATGCAAGTCTTAATTCTATTGCTCCCTCTTGCATCAAATACCATGCTAAACCAAAATTGTATGTGTGATTTAATCTGAAAAAAAATGCAAGGAACAAATTAAGAATTTGGAGGAGAGTAGAACAAACAAAACACAGAAACAATGTAATAACATGATAAGGTGCCATTTGAAATGCAAGGGTTATTATAATTCTTGTTTTGGTACTTCAAGGCAATGCTTCCTTTCACTATGATTAAGGAAAGCTTGAACACTCTGGAATGGTGTTTTGCCTTCCATTCCCCCCTTCCTTTCTCTAACAAGTGCTCATATCAGTACAACCTGTGAAATCTGTAACTCTCACACTGTCTGCCTGAACTTGTACCATTGCTGAAATCTCTCCTCTCCCCATTTCCCTCCAGCATAAAAAAGCTACATTTTACAGATTTCTTTTTTAAACAAAATTTTTGGGATAGAAATAGAAAACAGAAGAGACTTGCTTCATGGAAATCTTGCAATAAAGATGGTAAAGTCATGTTCCCACCATCCAAAAAGTATCTCCTCATAACAATTTGTACTTAAACTATTGGTTAAATATTGAAAATAAAAAAATGTGAACTTTAAATTAAAACATTTACCAATGTGACCTGGAAGAACGCAAAGATAAAGAAAATGGGGTGGTGACAAGCAAAATCACTAAAGCAGAAGGTAAAGCAAAAGGTGAGATAAGAAGTAAAAGCCACTGGAGATTTCAGGGGAAAGGAAAATCACAGGTTCAATAACAGTCATTGGCATAGCTTTAACCCATCTAGAATAGCTTAATGGCTGTAATGTGGGAATTGCTAGACGAAAAAAGATCAAGGTCCATCTAACCTGCCTTCTATCATCTTGGTCCTCGCATGCTACAATCATGGAGATGTTAATAGCTCTTCATTCTGTATAGATTGGTCTACCAACAGTGGAAAGCTTTGGGAACCTTAGGTCTAAAGTTGCCCAGTTCTTTCAAGCATACTACACTCACTATATGGCATGTCTAAAATTACCATGTATTCCCAAAATATTTTCTAACAGAAATCTATCTAATTTGCATTTGAATGAATCAACATTATCTGCTT